AGCCTTTTGGGTGGTCTTGGGGGCCGTCTTGGGGCTTTGGGCCTCTCTTGTGAGCTTCATGGGCCATTTGGAGCTATATTGGGGCTTCGGATGGCCATTGGGAGCGTAAAGGCGGGATGTAGTAGTGTGGTTAGTGTAGTAGTAGTAGTTGTAGTAGTAGTTGTACGTAGTAGTTGTTAGGTAGTTAGTGTGTAGTAGCAGTTATTAGTAGTAGTAGTCGGTGTAGTAGTGTACTATTAGTTTGTTGTCGTTGTAGTGTTGTAGTAGTATTTGTAGTTTAATGGTAGTATTTGTAGCTACGAGTAGGTTTAGTAGTAATAGTAGTAGTAGTAAGAGTAGTAGTAGTAGTAGTCGTAGTAGTCGTAGTAGTCGTAGTAGTAGGTGTAGGAGTAGTAGTAGTAGTAGTAGTAGTAGTAGTAGTAGTAGTAGTAGTAGTAGTAGTAGTAGTAGTAGTAGTAGTAGTAGTAGTAGTAGTAGGGTTGCACCTGGTCCTCGTGTCGCTACAAACCTCACCTTCGTGTACTCTTCTTGTGTATCAGGCCTATTTGAACTCCTACCAGGGGAATTACGAAAACATTAGTTTCAAACCTGGCCTTCGTGTCTTTCGCGCCAATGCCTACCTTCGTGCACTATTCGCTGTAGAGGCTGTAGATTGTATTCGTATTAGAAGCGAACAAAAAACGACAGTTTTACACCTGTCCTTCGTGTCGACGTCGGATTTGGAGCAACCGCCACTGCCAGCCGCTTCATTTCGGCACAACCCTCTCGAGGATCGTGGGCCTGGCCCTCCGACGCGCGATTCCGGCGCGCACTTCACTAGGATCGTGGCCCTGGTCCAAGTGGGAGCGCTGCCGAAGGCCCACCGACGTCCAATTCCGGCACGCCGCTCACGAGGATCGTGTCCTGGCCCACCTGGGAGCGCTGCCGACGGCCCACCGATGAGCAATATCGGCGCACCCCTCACACGGATCGTAGACCTCGCCACATTTGGATCGCCGCCCGACGCTGAAGTTCGGCACACCTCTCACATGGATCGTGGCCCTGGCCCAATGTGGAGCGCTGCCGACGGCCCACCGACGCCCAATGCCGGAACACCCCTCACGAGGATCGTGGCCCTCTGGTCCACTTGAGAGTGGGTTTTCATAAGGACGTCGTTCTGGTTTTATTCGGGAAGGCATTATGGTTTTAATCGTTTCTGGTTCGTGATGGTTAGGAGGAGGAGGAGGAGGAGGAGGAAGAGGAGGAGGAGGAGGAGGTGGGGGACGGGCAGGAGGAGGAGGAGGAGGAGGAGGAGGAGGAGGAGGAGGAAGAGGAGGGGGAGGAGGAGGAGGGGGAGGAGGAGGATGAGGAAGAGGAAAGCGAGCAGGAAAAGAGGAACGCTGTTTTCTCGTTTTTCACAATGGGTTTGCGAACCTCGCCTTCGTGTACTATTGGCTCTATAGCCCCTGTATTGTTTTCTTACGAGCGAACGGCGAAATTGTGAGTTTCCGAACCCCTTCTTCGTGTACTATTAGAATCAGTGGGCTTCCGAACCTTATCTTTGTGTACTATTAGCTCTATAACCCCTGTATTGTTTTCCTATCAGCGAATGGCGAAATTGTGGGTTTCCGAACTCCTGCTTCGTGTACGATTGAATTCCGACTATTCTATGTTAGTCTATGTGGTTTAAACTGATTGTGTGGAACCGAACCCGAACCCGAACTCGAACCCGAACCCTTACCCTTACCCTTACCCATTCATTCTTAGTAGACACGAAGGAGAGGTTTAACCCTAGTAGTAGTAGTAGTAGTAGTAGTGGTAGTAGTAGTAGTAGTAGTAGTAGTAGCAGTAGGAGCAGCAGCAGCAGCAGTAGCAGTAGTAGTAGTAGTAGTAGTAGTCGTAGTAGTAGGAGTAGTAGGAGTAGTCGTAGTAGTAGCAGTCGTAGTAGTAGCAGTAGTAGTAGTAGTAGTAGTAGTAGTAGTAGTAGTAGTAGTAGTAGTAGTTGTAGTAGTGGTAGTAGTAGACGGAGTCTCAGGATTAGTAGCAGGAGTAGCAGCAGTAACAGTAGCAGTAGCAGTAGTCGTAGTAGTTGTAGTAGTAGTAGTAGTAGTAGTAGTAGTGGTAGTCGTAGTCGTAGTAGTAGTAGTAGTAGTAGTAGTAGTAGTAGTAGTAGTAGTAGTAGTAGAAGGAGGAGGAGGAGGAGCAGCAACAACAGCAGTAGCAGTAGCAGTAGCAGCAGTAAGGCAGGGTTAGTAGTAGTAGTAGTAGTAATAGTAGTAGTAGTAGTCCTCGTAGTAGTAAACAGTAGTAGTAGTAGTAGTAGTAGTAGTAGTAGTAGTAGTAGTAGTAGTAGTAGTAGTAGTAGTAGCAGGTAGTAGTTAGTAGGGAAGCATAGTAGTAGTAGTAGTAGTAGTAGTAGTTAGTAGTGTAGTAGTGTCGTAGTCGTAGTAATTAGTAGTGTGTAGTAGTAGTAGTAGTTAGTAGTAGTAGTAGTAGATAGTAGTTGTGGTCGTAGTAGTAAGTATAGTAGCAGTAGTAGTAGTAGAAAGTAGTAGTTAGTAGTTAGCGTAGTAGTAGTAGGAGTAGTAGTAGTAGTAGTAGTAATTAGTAGTGCAGTAGTAGTAGATTAGTAGTAGTTAGTGTAGTAGCCGTTAGTAGTAGTAATCGTTAGCGTAGTAGTAGTCGTTAGTTAGTTAGGTTCGTTAGTTAGTTAGTAGTAGGCGTAGTTAGTAGTAGTAGTAGTAGTGTAGTAGTGTAGTAGTAGAAGTAGTGTTAAGTCGTAGTCGTAGTAGTAGTAGTAGTAGTAGTAGTAGTAGTAGTAGTAGTAGTAGTATGCATGTGTATAGTTGTAGAAGTATAGTGTAGTTAGAAGTAGTCGTAGTCGTAGTTAGTTCGTAGTCGTAGTTCGTAGCAGTCGTAGTAGTAGAGTAGTAGTAGTAGCAGTCGTCGTAGTAGTCGTAGTAGCCGTAGTAGTAGCAGGAATAGTAGTAGTAGTAGTAGTAGTAGTAGTAGTAGTAGGAGTAGTAGTAGTAGTCGTACTAGTAGTAGTAGTAGTAGTCGGAGGAGAAGCAGCAGCAGCAGTAGCAGTAGTAGTAGTAGTAGTAGTAGTAGTAGTAGTCGTAGTAGAAGGAGCAGTAGGAGTAGTAGTAGTAGTAGTAGTAGTAGTAGTAGTAGTAGTAGTAAACGGAGTCGTAGGATTAGTAGTAGGCGTAACAGCAGTAACAGTAACAGTAGCAGTAGTAGTAGCAGTAGTAGTAGTAGTAGTAGTAGTAGTAGTAGTAGTAGTAGTAGTAGTAGTAGTTGTAGTAGTAGTAGTAGTAGTAGTAGTGTCTCGTGTCGTAGTCGTAGTAGAGTAGTAGTGGTAGTAGTAGTAGCAGTAGAAGGAGGAGGAGGAGCAGCAGCGAGCAGCAGTAGCAGTTAGCAGTAACAGTAGCAGTAGCAGGTAGTAGTAGTAGGTTAGTAGTAGTAGTAGTAGTAGTAGTAACAGTGTGGTAGTAGTCGGTCGTCGTATAGTAGCATTAGTAGTAGTAGTAGTAGTAGTAGTAGTAGTAGTAGTAGTAGCAGTAGTAGTTGTAGGAGCAGCAGCAGCAGCAGTAGCAGTAGCAGTAGCAGTAGCAGTAGTAGTAGTTAGAAGTAGTAGTAGCAGTACTAGTAGTAGTAGTAGCAGTAGCAGTAGTAGTAGTAGTAGTAGTAGTAGTAGTAGTAGTCGTGGTGGTGGTGGTGTTGGTGGTGGTGGTGGTAGTAGTAGTAGAAGTAGTAGTAGTAGTAGTAGTAGTAGTGGTAGTAGTAGCAGGAGTAGTAGTAGTAGTAGTAGTAGTAGCAGAAGTAGTAGCAGTAGTCGTAGTCGTAGTAGTAGTATTAGTAGTAGTAGTTGCAGTAGTAGTAGTAGTAGTAGTAGTAGTAGTAGTAGTAGTAGTAGTCGTAGTCGTAGTCGTAGTCGTAGTCGTAGTCGTAGCAGCAGTAGTAGTAGTAGTAGTAGTAGTCGTAGTCGTAGTCGTAGTCGTAGTCGTAGTCGTAGTCGTAGTCGTAGTCGTAGTAGTCGTAGTCGTCGTAGTAGTCGTAGTAGTAGTAGTAGTAGTAGTAGTAGTCGTAGTAGTAGTAGTAGTAGTAGTAGTAGTAGTAGCAGTAGTAGACGTGGTAGTAGTAGTAGTAGTAGTAGTAGTAGTAGTCGTAGTAGTAGTAGTAGTAGTAGTAGTAGTCGTCGTAGTAGTAGTAGTAGTAGTAGTAGTAGTAGTCGTAGTAGTAGTAGTAGTAGCAGCAGTAGCAGCAGTAGCAGCAGTAGCAGTAGTAGTAGTAGTAGTAGTAGTAGTAGTAGTGGTAGTAGTAGTGGTAGTAGTAGTAGTAGTAGTACTACTAGTAGTTTTGTCTCACAGGCAGCACTGCTTAAGGAGCCCCTCTCTGGAGCAGGGCGCTCGTTGTTTTGAGGTTCAGGGCTAGCAGGCCCCTCCCATCAATACTTCAGGAGAGCTCGGTGCAGTTGAGACTCCAGATTCTGTGGCCTAGACGTACACATTGTTCACTTCGAAGTCTGCGAAAGTTCTTTGATCTTTTGGGGGGCCAAGATCTGTTCACATCTAATTGATCTATCCTGGGCCTCTTCCTGGCCACTAGGGTCACTAGGGGGCCAGGAACAATTAGAAACGAGAACAATTAGAAATGAGCACGATTAGACATGAACGACGTGTATGTTCATCCACCGCCCCTTTCTGACAAGCACTTGGCGGGGAACTATTCCTATTCCGTAGGATCGCTTCCCCCTTCTGCGGAGTAGCACTTGCGGCTACAGTCTACGGGAGCGCTCTCAGACACGACCGAGGTGAAGAGCGGCCCTGTAAAGTCAGGCGTGCCCTTGTGTCCTCTTAGTCCCTGGCGTGTTACACCGTGTGCCCTCTTGGCTTGCTCGTGCCACGTCTGCCCTTGGAAAAGCCGGCCGTGCTCCTGGGTTTCCCCTGCCTTCGGTCGCGACCGTGCCAGACCCCGCCTCTCTCAGCCGAGCCTCGGCTCTTTGTGGAGTCCCGAAGGAGGCCGCGCGCGAGCGCGGCGCGGCTGGCAAGGCTGCCGGAGATGGGAAGGCGGACTGAGGCGCAGGGCGTGCGACGTGGCCCGCAGACGCGCGCCACGGACATCGAAGAAGAGACACGTGCACCAGCACACACTTTTCGGAGGTCCGCGCGGAGTTCTTGGAATTGGCGCTGGGCCCCCGCTGGCGGCGCCTCCGGCGCCGCTAGCGGGCGCGCCCTGCTCGGCAGGAAGGGGGGCCAAAAGCGCTGATCCGAGAAGTCCGCGCGGACCTCCGAAATGTTGTGTCTGTGTAGTTTTTTGTTCCTCCAGTCCAGCCCCATATCTTCCACCGCACCGGGGGGCCAGGACCAGTTTTGGTTTCTCTGCCGCGAGGCCCTCTGTGCGCACACCATCCGCCCAAGATGAACCCCCGCCCCCCCACCCAAGGAAGGGCTGAAGGTCGCAGCTCCAAACATCCCCGCACTTTCTTTCAATCTCGGCCCCCAGGGGGCACATTCTTCGGGATGGGAACAGGAATGGCACGCCGCCGTCAGAAACCCGTCATCATTTTACTCCTTCGTTTTTGTCCGAAGACATGGCGTTTGCACGCTGGTGTGCTTCCCACGGCAGCATGCCATCAATGGTGCGTTTGCTCCCGGAAGTCTGAGCCCTGGGGCCACCCAAAAGTTCTCCTCAGTAAGCAGTGTTGCCCCCGTGGGTAGGTGGGGGGGGGGGGTCGAGAGCCCTGGGGGGCGTGAAAATATAGACCATTCAGCATCACGAGGGGGCCTGAGGCCGCAACGAGGGCGTCGCACCTGCATGCACGCGTTTTCTCCCCCAGCCGTGCCGGATGACAGCCGGCCCTTCCAGCCCGAAGCAGCCCGTAGGGCCACCCGAGTGCACAAAATGCATCGCCCCCGCCGAAGAGACCTTCAGTGCCGCTCGGAGAGCGAGAATGCGGCATGAACACAGTCTCTCGGAGGTCCGCGCGAATTCCTTGGATCGGCGCTGGGCTCCCCCGATGCTGCGTCCTTCGCCGCCTCGCCGTCGCCATCACAGCTGCCATCGAAGGCTTTGCCTCGGAACGCAGGAGGAGAAGGAGGCGAGGCGGAGGAGAAGCAGGAGGAGAGAGAAGGAGGATCGGGGAGGAGCAGATCAGGGAGGGGGCGGACGGGGTTGCCGAGGAGGGGAGGAGGAGGAGGAGGAGGAGGAGGAGGAGGGGAAGGAGGGGAAGGAGCAGACAGGAAGCAGGAGGAGAAAGGAGGACCGCTGCGCACCAAGGCAGACCCGACGGGTCCAGCATCCAACGCACGGGCAGCGGCAAAAGAACAAGAGCAGGGAGGGAGGGAGGGGAGGGAGGGGAGGTGTTAGTGCGCGAGTTCGAGACGGGGGCCCTCCGGGCCCTGCAATCAGGTTCCTGGGCCCCTCCGGGAACCTGACCCGGGGAGTGGGGCCCTCTGGGCCCAATGAGACAAGATGAATTCTACTCCTTTCCCTCGGCGGACCCCGAGCGCTCCTGAAACAGACTAGGGCCCAGACGGCAGCGGAGCAATGCAATACCGTGATAGATGAGTGCACATCAACAGGAGGGGAGAGGAGGAAGGAAGGGAGGGAGCGAGGCGGGCGGGAGCGAGGGAGGAGGAGGAGGAGGAGGTGGAGGATGAGGAGGAGGAGGAGGAGGAGGAGGAGGAGGAGGAGGAGGATGAGGAGGAGGAAGACGAGGAGGAGGAGGAGGAGAAGTGGTAGGAGGGGAGGAGGAGGAGGAGAATTGGTAGGAGGGAGGAGGAGGAGGAGGAGGAGGAGGAGGAGGAGGACGACAGGGAGGAGAACAATGAGGAGGAGGAGGAGGAGGAGGAGGAGGAGGAGGAGGGGGAGGGGAAGGGGGAGCGGGGTGGGAGGTGGAGGGACAACCTTCGTGGTCAGGCATGCGGGCCCTTGTCTGCCATCGTCGGTTCGTTGACGGTGTCCCCTCCTCGTCGCACTCTGGACACATAGGGTGCCAGAATTTCCCCCAACCATCCTGTGGTGTTGGATCCTCGTTTTGAAGAGACATCGCCCCGCACCCTCCCTTTTTCTTCTTCTTCTCCTCCTCCTCCTCCTCCTCCTTCCTCCTCCTCCTCCTTCTCATCTTCTCTTCCCTGCCTGTGCCATCGCACTCATCGCCATCATCATCATCATCATCACCATCATCATCCTCATCATCATCAGCAGCATCAGCATCGGCATCCGCACCAGCATCATCTTCTGCTGCATCCTCATCAGCAACAGGACCATCATCACCATCGTCATCATCACCATCATCAGCAGCAGCATCAGCATCTTCATCATTATCACCATCATCAGCATCATCATCGCCATCATCATCAGAATCAACATCATCATCATCATCATCATCATCATCATCATCATCATCATCACCATCGTCATTACCAAGCCCGTCTGCTCGCCAAGCGCTCCACGGCGCTGCGAGCACTGCTGGCCAGAAGCACCACGGTCCGAAGCTGAGGGGATCATCAGTATCGTCATCACTATCATCATCAGCAGCAGCAGCGCCATTATCATTCGCACCGTGATCAACATCAGCATCAGCGTCATCATCAGCATCATCATCATCATTACCACCGTCACCATCATCTTCACCATCACCATCTCGATCATCATCATCTTCATCATCGTCGTCATCATCATCATCACCACCATTGTCCCCACCATCATCATGAGCAACAACAACAGCAGCAACCGCAACAACATCAACAGCAGCACCGACAACAATATCATCATCAATACTACGGCACACCTCTTACGCGCATCGTGGCTCCGTAGGGAGCTCCACAGAAGGCTCCAATTGCACGGGTTGCAGGACAGCTCTGCACTCATGTCCGTACAGCCCTCACGAGTACTGTGGCCCGTAGGGAGCTCCACAGAAGGCTCCAGTGGCACGGGTTTCTTGGTGGCTTCGTACCAATTTCGGTACACCCCTCATGAGGATCGTGGCCCCGTCCACAGAAGGCTCCAGTGGCACGGGTTGCATGGCGGCGCCGCACCTACCCCTCACGAGGATCGTGGCCCCGCCGGGAGCTCCACAGAAGGCTCCAATGGCACGGGTTGCGTGGCGGCGCCGTACCCATGTCGGTACGGCCCTCACGATGACCGTGGCCCAGTAGGAGGCTCCACAGAAGATTCCAGTGGCACGGGTTTGCATGGCGGCTTCGCACGCTTTTCAGTACCCCCCTCACAAGGATAGTGACCCCGTAGGGAGCTCCACAGAAGGCTCCAGCTGCAGGGGTTGCATGGCGAGTTCGCGCCTACGCCTCACGAGGATCGTGGCCCCGTAGGGAGCTCCACAGAAGGCTCGAATGGCAAGGTTTGCATGGCGGCGCCGCACCCATGTTGGTACACCCCTCATGAGGATCGTGGCCCCGTAGGAAGCTCCACAGAAGGCTCCAGTGGCACGGGTTTGCATGGCGGCTTCTCACCCATGTCGGTACACCCTTCATGAGGACCTTGGGCCCGTAGGGAGATCCACAGAAGGCTCCGGTGGCACGGTCTGCATGGCGGTGCTTTAGCTATGTCTGTACACCCCTCAGGATCGTGGCCCCGTAGGGAGCTCCACAGAAGGCTCTAGTGGCACGGATTTCTGGGTGACTTCGCACCCATTTCGGTACACCCTTTTTCATGAGGATCGTGGCCCCGTAGGGAGCTCCACAGAAGGCTCCAGTGGCACGGGATTTGCATGGTGGCTTCGCACCCATGTCGGTACACTCCTCATGAGGATCGTGGCCCCGTAGGTAGCCACACCAAAAAAAAGGCTCCAGTGGCATTGGTTTGCATGGCGGCTTCGCACCCATGTTGGTACACTCCCCACGATGACCATGGCCTCGTATGCAGCTCCACAGAAAGCTCCAGTGGCACGGTTTGCATGGCGGCGCCGTACCCATGTCGGTACACCCCTCCCTCATCATGAGGATCGTGGCCCCGTAAAGAGCTCCGCAAAAGGTTCCGGTGGCACGGGCTGCATCGCGGCGCCGTGCCCATGTCGGTACACCGTTCATGAGGATCGTGGCCCCGAAGGGAGCTCTGCAGGAAGCTCCAGCGGCACGGGCTGCATGGCGGCGCCGCACCGATTTCGGTACACCCCTCACGAGGATCGCGGCCCCGTGAGGAGCTCCACACAAGGCTCCCGTGGCAGGGTTTGCACGTAGGCGCCGCACCGATTTCGGTACACCCCTCATGAGGATCGTGGCCCCGTAGGGAAATCCACGGCACACTGGAGGAGGAGAAGGAGGAGGAGGACCAGTAGAAACCCAAGAGTCATCAACGATGCTGGAATATAGGCCCATGCAACGGTTCATTTCCATTGAGGGAACTGCTTCGCTGGAAAACAACAGTTTGAAGATCCAGAAGCATGCCAAAACATTGTTTTCGCGATTTCAACGCCACGTATCAACCTGACTGCTGCGTCTGGACGATCCAGGGCCGTGCCAGAACGCCACTTGTGGGACTTTAGCAGAACGAATCAACATATTTGTTGCGCCCGCATAACCCTGAAACTTTCCAAAACACAAGTTCTGGTACGCTGATCATGGGTATCCGTGAAGCCCTTGCACAAAACGGATGTGCGCGGTGCTAAGGCGATAGCCACGTTTTGAAAACGACCCGCTGTCAATCCGTGAAATTCTTGCAAATGTCTAAACGAATGTGCCTGGCGCTACGGCGAGAGCCACATTTTGAAAACCACCCGCCCCCAATCAGTGAAGTTCTTGCACATGGTTAAAATGAATGTGCGCGGCGCTACGGCGAGAGCCGCATTTTGAAAACCACCCGCCCTCAATCAGTGAAGCCCTTGCATGTTTAAAACGAGTGTGCGCGGTGCTAAGGCGAGAGCCGCGCTTTGAAAACGACCCGCCCTTAATCCGTGAAACTCTTTGCGAATGTTCTAAACGAATGTGCGCGGCGCTAGGTCGAGAGCCACATTTTGAAAACGACCCGCCCTCAATCCGTGAAGCCCTTGCAATTTGTTTAAACGATTGCGCGCGTCGTTCAGGCGAGAGCCGCATTGTGAAAACCGGCCGCCCTCAATCAGCGAAACGCTTTCAAATATTTTGAACAAATGTGCGCGGCGCTAAGAGGAGAGCCACATTTTGAAAACCACCCGCCCTCCATAATTGAAACTATTGTCACTGTTTAAGTTTCAGAGTCATAAGTGGTGAGGAAGTCTCAGGCGAAACGCTCAGCCCGCTCTAAAAACTGGCTTCGGGGTGCGACAGGGAAGAGTTATCTATAAGGAGAAGGAATGGATGAGGAGACAGGAGGAGAAAGAAGAGGAGGAGGAGGGGGAGGAGGAGGAGAAGGAGGAGGGGAAGGGGGAGGGAGGGGGAGGAGGAGGAGGAGGAGGAGGAGGAGGAGGAGGAGGAGGAGGAGGAGGAAGAGGAGAGGAGGAGGAGGAGGAGGAGGAGGAGAGAGAGGAGGAGGAAGAGGAGGAGGAGCAGGAGGAGGATGAGGAGGAGGAGGGGGAGGGCAGATGAGGGAACCTGTCGGCCCCGAGAGGGAACCTGTCGGGCGTGGCTACGTGCCGAGGCGGAACCATGACATCCGGAGCTGGTGGCCCCATTGGAAGACCTGTCAAAAGATGGGCACACAAGACGGCACCCGCAATTGAATATGGTTGGGTCCGTCGCCAGGGAAATTCCGCACTGTTCGGAGAAGGAGGAGGGGATCAGCAGGAGGCATAGGAGAAGGAGCGGGAGGGAGAGGGCCCTCCAGGGCCTGCGGGGGCCTGCAGAGGGTGTCGAGGAGCTTCTTAGGGCATCCAGGGGGCCTCAATGAGGGCAGGCAGGAACCCTCCTCGACGAGGAGGGAGGAGGAGGCGGAGGAGGCGGAGAAGGAGGAGGAGGAGGAGGTGGACGAGGAGGAGGAAGAGGGGGAGAGGAGGAGGAGAAGGAGGAGGAGGAGGAGGAAAGAAGGAGGAGGAGGAAGGCGG